TTGACAGTGTGCCCAGAATTTTAGTAAGCCTTATGAGGATTTACTGAAAATAGTGTAAACGCTTTACCCTTTTCTTGCTGTAGGATGTTGTACCTCAAGCCTTGCTGGATCAGTATTTATCAATGACTGATCCATCTCGTGCACAAACAGTTGATACCGAGATTGCCAAGCACTGTGCCTACAGCCTACCAGGTGTGGCACTTACGTTAGGCAGACAGAATTGGCACTGTTTGAAAGATACCTATGAGACACTGGCATCTGACATGCAGGTAAGCTCCAGAAGCTCTGACAGTGAATGATACGAACTTTTGTGATGTGACAGTTAATAATCTGAACCTTTATGATTATTTCTCTTGTTTACTGGGTATTGGGTTGCTCTGCTTTTTACATGGAGCTTTCCGTCACTGATATTAGTTATTTGTATAATGAATGAAAGTGTAACTTGTCTCAGAGGAAGCTGGGTGTGCGTCGTGCTCAGGTAGTAAGGAAACGGGGCAGTTTGAGTGGGACGTGGATCTGTGGTGGGAATGTAAGGAGAGGTCTCTTGATTTCCTCTGCTTGCTTGAGGTCTTATGGCAGTACTTGGGATTCTCATAGGTATGAGAATTTGGGCTGTGCTGCTGTGCATGAGCAGACACGTGCCCCTGCAGGCATGTCTGGAGCTCAGTGAGTCAGCGTCACACCAAGCCTTTTGGTGGCCATTTGGTGCTGCATCCAGTTAGTCATAAGGGAATAACATCACTATCACCATGCAGCTTTGCTGTTTTAAAAACAAATACTGGAAATAGCAGCATTTTCCTTGTTGTCAGGTGGTAAGGAGGTGGCTTTGCACATTTTACTGTTGGTTTCCAGTTGTTTCCCAGTCTTCCCTTGTTTCCTTTTTTGGAGATGCTCTTTTTTATTTTTTTTAAACATTCTCAGACTGCTTCACCTCTCTTGAACTTGCTGCTTGATATGTCAGAGCAGCAGTTCTTAGTGATGTATAGTGAGTAATTTTATACATGGCTATTGCTCATATTTTCCAAACTCTCTTGCAGCCATTGAAAACAACTAGCTAATAAATTTAAAACTTTAGTAAAAATCAATTACTCTGTATTCAAAACTGTACAGTTTATCGCCAGTCTAATCTGAATTAAGATAGAATCACCAAACCAGGGCAAAAGAACAGTACTCATGCTAACTGGAAAGTGCTGGCTAAAGAATAGATGCTGTTTTATTTAAAAAAAAAAAAAACCAAAACCAAACTTACTGGAAATAGTTACTCCATTAAAACGGTGCCCCCTCAATTTAGGGTGAGTAAAAGCTCTACTGGTTCTTGGACTGCTGGGTACTCAGTGTGGGTGAAACTTTACCTATTATGGCAGCTAAAATATGCCAGATGAAATACTGTGGGATATATATCTTATTCTGTTTTATACATTAAATGAGTGAGAATAGTAGTAGTATGGAACTAATTTACCCAAAAGAATTTAAAGCAGAGAGTAATAGGTGGAAGAGTACTGGTGTCAGGAATACTATTTTACTTCCTGACACCTGGAAAATTAAAATACTTTCATTACTTCTATTTGCCTAGTTCCTTGGAATTCAGGTAGAGGAAATGATACCTTGTCACTTGTCCCCTTTTTCCTTTTAGGTTTTTTTGTTGGTTGTTGGTTTTTTTTTATATTACTTCCAATTTCATTTTCAGTTGTTACATGAGACACTGTTGAATGTCATTTGTGAGTACTGTAGCTCACTGGGAGTCCAGCTTGGATACTGACACTCAAGTTAAAATAGAGCACTTCAGATGATACATCAATAACATTCATTTATTTATTTATTTTACAGTGGAAGGTTCGGCGGACACTAGCATTTTCTATACATGAACTTGCTGTCATCCTTGGAGACCAGCTTACAGCTGGAGACTTAGTTCCTGTCTTCAATGGCTTTCTAAAAGATCTAGATGAAGTCAGGATAGGTGTGCTTAAACACTTGCATGACTTTCTGAAGGTATGTCTCTGTTCAACTCTGGTCAAATGCAATTATGTATTTGGCTTCATTTCTTTGTATACACTTGCTTTTTAATATAACACCGGTATAACTCTTTGCGGTAGTCCATACAGATGTCTCTTGAACACTAGAGTATATTTTGCAGGAGATTTGTGTTGCTGATAACTTCTCTTTTCTCTCAAGAGCCTGGTTTGCACATGTTTATTCAATATATAGAGGTCAGTGAATGGCTAAGTTTTGTGATGGCTCTAACCTCTCTACGCAGGTTACTTCTCAAATTTCTTTACGAGTTTTCCTGTAAGTGCCTCACTTTTGGAGCTGAAAGACACAAATCATAAAACCTTTAAAATCAATACTATCTTTATTGCTTACCTCTCTTGTTTCCCAGAGTAAAAGGAGAGACTAGATTAGTAGTGTCCCATGTGATTTTACAGACTTAAGCGTGATAGGGCTTAGTCTAGGAAAGCAACACTATTGCTAAAGACTTTAATAAAAGCAAGTGTTTCATTAGTTCTATTTTAAAGCTCTTGTTTTATCTGCTGATAGTAGCCTACATCTCTTTATGTAAGTTTATGTTTACTGTTACAGCTTCTTCATCTTGACAAAAGACGAGAGTATCTTTATCAGCTTCAGGAATTCCTAGTGACTGATAATAGCAGGAACTGGCGTTTCCGTGCTGAGCTGGCTGAGTATGTAGTTTTCTGGATGCTTGTTTTTATTGTTACAGATATTTTAAACCATTAAAATCGTAGAACAGATGTTTTACAGTGACATTCTTCATTTCTTTTTTAATTAGCGAATTAATTGATTGTCCCCCTTGCTTAAAAACTCCCTGTAGATGTATATCACTTATAAGAGTTAGAACTTGAATTATGGAATTGTTTAGGTTGGAAAAGACCTTTAAGATCATCAAGTCCAACCGTTAACCTAACAGTGCCAAGTTCACCACTAAACCATGTCCCTAAGCAGGACATCTGCACGTCTTCTAAATACCTCCAGGGATGGTGACTTAGCCACTTCCTTGGGCAGCCTGTTCCAATGCTTGATAGCCCTTTTGGTGGAGAAATTTTTCCTAAATGTCTTTTTCCATCACCATAGGTTGAAAACATTACCCTTCCGTAAAAAAGAAGCTGCCAGAAGGCCAGATCTGGTTGCTCTTGAAGTCAATAGAAGTGTCTAGCAATTTGACTTAAATTTGCTGTATTTGATGAGTAGGCTGAATTCATGACCATGAAATGGAGGAGCTCAAGCTCTTGAGGGAAGTAAAGAAAGCGAGTAGCAGAGTAGTGACCTTGGGCTTCATCTAAGCAGATTTTGGCTTTTTCATGGAACTGGTAGGTGGGCTCCTATAGAAGGCAGATCTGGAGGGTCAAGTTGCTCAGGAAAGCTGGCAGAGGACAGGGCTTATGAAATTCAACGAGGGACATATGCAGAGTTCTGCACGTGCAAAGGAGGAGCTTCTGACAGCGAGACAGACTAAGGACTGGCTACCCTGGGACCAGCGCTGCTGGAAAGACCCAGAGTGTCATGGAGGACAGGGAGCTGAACATGAGCCAGCACAATCCTCAGCTGTATCAACAGGAGCACAGTCAGTATGTTGAGGGAACAGGATAGCCCCCTCTAGTCAGCACTCATTAGATTTCATCTGGAGCAATGCATCTGTACCAATACAGGGAAGATGCTGATAAACTGAAAAAGTTCAGCAGAGGGCCACCAAGATCATCAAGGCTGGAGCACTTATCCTTGTGAGGAATAACTGTGGGACCAGGGCTTCTCTACCAGGAATGATGAAGCGAGCATATAATAATGACTAATTACAGTGTATCTTTTGAACTAAATTTTGAGAGACCTAATTTAAAAACTGATCATGATGTCATGATGCTTTTGCTACATTTAAGTGCTGTTTTGATTTCATAACTACAAATAACTTATCTGTTACTGCTGGTATGGAGGCATTCAATCGGCTGCTTTGTGACATGTCATACCACTTCTTTTGACATGCTTTCTACCATTCTTGACACATACTAGTGTCTGCAACCTGCTGAAGTCTTAATCAACTCATTACAAATTGAAGAAGACATAGTTTTTCTAGTTGTCCAGTATACTCTGAAGTAGAGATAGAAGGAGGCATCTACCACCTCTCTGGACTGCAAGATGGGGACTGGAGGAGCAAAGTCCCTCTTGCTGTAAGAGAAGATCATGTTTGAGACCACCTGAGGAACCTGAATATACATAAGTCTATGGGACCTGATGAGATGCATCCTAGAGTCCTGAGGGAATTGGCTGATGTAGTTGCCAAGCCATTCTCCATGATATTTGAAAAGTCCTGGCAGTCAGGTGAAGTCCTAGGTGATTGGAAAAATGGAAACATTGCACCCACTTTTAAAAAGAGTAGAAAGGAGGTCCCTGGGAACTACTGACCTGTCAGCCTTGCCTCTGTGCCTGGAAAGATCACGGAACAGGTCCTCCTAGAAGCTCTGCTAAAGCACAGGGAGGGCAGGGAGGGGATTCGAGACAGCCAGCGTGGCTTCACCAAGGCCAAGTCCTGCCTGACCAACCTTGTGGCCTTCTGTGATGGAGTGACCACATCAGTGGACAAGGGAAGAGCTACAGATGTCGTCTATCTGGACTTCTGAAGGCCTTTGACACAGTCCCCCACAACATCCTTCGGTCTAAATTGGAGAGAGATGGATTTGATGGGTGGACTGTTGGGTGGATGAGGAACTGGTTGGATCGTCGCACCCAGAGGGTAGTGGTCAATGGCTCAATGTCCAGATGGAGATTGGTGAGGACTGGTGATCCTCAGGGGTCCGTATTGGGACCAGTACTC